AGCAGTCGATTCCGGACGGCGCCTCATACTGTGTTACTTCTGCCGGCTGAATCCGTTTTTGTTTTCTCTAACGCCTCGAATCCCTTTATTATTGCTTTAGTCTCACGCTGTTCTGGCTCGAAACCCAAACATTCCGAACACTGAGTCTTGTTACACAATACCTCAATTCCCAGAGCAGTGGTGTTTTTGATGATTTGAACTCCAGAAAACGTGAGAATGAGCCCACCCTTGAGCGGCAAGCTCAATGTAACTGCATTCCCCCTCCTCCAACTTACAAATATCAGATCGACCCCATCTGGACCGAGCCGAGACCATTGGCTTTCATGCGAATTCGAGTTCGCGACTTCCGCAGGATGCTCCAGAAACCTCGCGTTGCCGGGCAATACTGAATACTGACTTGGTGGCAGCGACTGAATTTCCGAACAGCTGATGATTGCGGAACCGTGCTCCATGGTCGGCGCGCTTGCAGCTTTTGAAAAATGGCACCGCTTTGAACGTCTCTGGTGTCACGCGTTGATCGCTTTGGGATCTGGAAGAGCCGACTCCGCATGCTGTTCGCCATCAGACTTCGTCGACGAGCACAAATCTGTCAAAATCCGCTGAGCCGGGGTCGAAGAGCAAGGGGAGACAGAACTAAATTAGCGTTGTATTCGTCTTCGAGCAACATTTCCTGCCATTTAGCTTCATTCTCGGAATTATCCAAAAACTCACGAAATGCTCACCGACCGCGGTTGGTTCGGTTGAGGATGCAGAGCCGGGAGACCGAGTGATCACAGGGACTCGCAAGGAAAGCTTCAGGAAATCTTCCGGGGAATCCGGAGTACGAAATCTCGTTGATGCTTCGGAATCCCAGAAGCATATCGGAAGGGAATAGAGAGAGAGAGCCTGCAGCACGACCTGAAAGCTGCGGTTGGCGGAGCGCCGGAAAACGTCGCCAAAAATTACCCCTCATATTTTAGTTCATCCCATTTTACGCAGACGACATCCAGACGGATTTCTTTCCGAGCTTAATGCGTGAGGCACTTGTGACACACAAGATCGTTCTCAACGTTCCGTTCCTCCCTTCCTCTGTAAGTTGACTTTCTCCGGCTCTCATTTCGCTTATATAATACTCGTCAGCCGCTAGCTTTTCCGGCATCTTTAAATACGGATACTTTCGGCAATCGTTTAAGCCGCGACAGCCAGGCTTCGGGAGAGGCATCGACACGATCCGAAAAATTCCGTTCGGATTCCATGTAGGTAGTAACGATTCCTCACTCGGCTCGCTGCCTCGCGTTACGCGAGGTGGTCGCACGATGCTTCCTTTTTCGATTGAGAGAATGGACATAGATTTAGCGTCAAATGTCCGATTCGGCGTCTGAGATGGGCATCCGGCGTCTGAGATGGGGATGATCTTCGAGCTGTCTACCGCGGATGCAAGTCGGAAACGTCAGAAGACATTCGTCCGATCCCTAGGCTCCGATTCCGTGGGTGATTCTCCTGAGCCTAGGGTGGTATCCTACCCGGATAATCGTTCCGCTGTGCTTCGATGATCGCTGTCGAGTTGGGCGTCGCGTCTCGAGAATCGGCAGAAACTTAAATAAAACTTCCATACCGATAGCATGGAGCGTGCCTTTGCATTAACATTAGCGTGCTCGAGATGATTCCTCGTCTCGGTGGAAGTTTCTGAGAGTTCTTAACAAGCCACAGCCGAGTTCATCCGGGTCCGCAAGGAACCAGACCGATCACGATAATGGAGGGACGGAAACTTTTCTCCAATACGGCCAAGGAAACCTTCTCTGACTAGTAGATACGAAAACTATCCACCGCGACGGTCTGCACGAACAAACTGCCCCAGTTTGCTGCCTCTAAGCAGGCATGCAGAGGAATTCGAAAGTTTGGGATGCATAAAATAGAAGCCTCTCGTGAAGAAGACATACGTCCCGCCGCCGAGAGCTCTGGCTCATATCTGCGAAAATGAAACAACGCGGACGCGTTCCGCGTGGAATTGGACCGAGCAAGCTTGCGTCGCCGTCAAACTCGAGAACATTCCGATGCATTACGGAAATTTTAGTGTTTGCGATTTACATTCCGCAGGTTCCGAGAGATGGCGAGGCGTGGAGCGACGTAAGTGCCGGAAGTTTCGCGGTCCGAGGAAGTTGTCACTGAATGATGCAGCCAGCTCCCTATATTTCTTTTTTTTTACCAGCAAACTCTTCCGAGCCGCCCCTGCTGACGCCCGAATACCACGTTCAGCGATTAACCGTTTTTGTGACCACTTCACGTTGGACAGCTGAATGCCCGAATGAGAGAAGCCGCAGTGGAAAGAAAGAATCTTTCTGGAGTTTTGACCCGGGCTGAACTTCCGCTTGAACGAGTGAGACGGGAACACTGAGCAATCAAGACTTCTTTGTTTCGACGTCATTGTTGTCGCTGCTAAACACGGGATGTCTCTAAAATAATCGCGTTTCGCGGAGAAGCCAGAGAATCTTGGAATCACGTCGACGTTTGAGGCGGACGTTAAGTTGAGAGAATTCCTACGTACGCTTCGAATACGATGGGAAAGCTTTGTGGGAAGTGAGTCTGTGGGTCAGGTAATAGTTATGAGCGGCGAGAGCCCAAGACTTGGCCTTTTCTTGAAATTCGCGGGGTGTATAAGGAGTAATGCGAACGAGGTGTTCGACTCTCATCAAGTGAAAGTTTGCAGAGATGTTTTCAAGATTCCACTGAAAAGCGAAACTTCTGCGCGAAGGAATGCATACAAGAGTTGGAGCAAATAAACCTGACAGAAAACCATTTTTATTGACGCGCCTCATCCCATGGCGGTGAGCGCTGGAGTGAACGATCACGAGCACTTGATGACCGAATATGGTTTCTACTCCCGAAAATAGGAGAAACCTTGAAAATCACCAAGGAAAAATATTTCGATATCGGCGTATCATCGCAACGCCGAACATTCTTGATTTGGTGCGATGAAAGAGTCGGCCATATGTACTTGACACTTGTGAGAAGAGTCGTCACAATAGCACGGATATCACGCGATCGCCGTACCTCGGTTGGAGCGACTTCCGATAATTGTGGGTTCCCTACACGGATGATGGACGGTATTGCTTCGGACATGGTAATGCCTAAATTCACAGCCGCGTCGGATCATGGAATAATCAAGCGATTAGTCAAATCAATTGACTCGTCCATAAAGGCACCGTGTCAGTTTTTTGCATAGGAAAATGGAATTCCGGAGATTCGGCGAACGTTTCACGTTTCCTGTGTTTAAATCACTTTTTCCATATCCGACGGAAGGCTTCGCCGTGGTCGGCAGGCCGGCTGGCCGGCCGGCCGGTCTCCCTCTCTCCTTGCGCAACGCGCACGCGAACTGCAAAAGACGCGCGAACGAAGGCGAAACGCTTGTTGATGGCATTCAAAAAGACAATTAGCGCCACCGCCTGGACAATCGACTTCGGTTGATCAAGCTACATGTCCCGTCCACCTCGTTTTGTTCGGTGTGGCTTTCACCGTGCCGACGTATTATGTCAGCGCTCGTTTTCTTTCGGAGGAGCAGGTTATTCCATCAAGCCGGCTCGCTTTCCCTGTTGTCATCTTGGAATTGACTTGTTCAAGGGGAACGCATACGGAGAATGAGCTCTCGTCGCCTGTACATCTAACACATCTTTCCGAACACAACACCGATATTGCGCGGAGATAGTTCTTCGCCTCAGAAATGTGATTGGGGATCGAGAGCGCACGACGCTGCATAACTCAGAAAGCCTCCGATGAACAATTCGAATTGAAGCGACAGTCTTCATCTCTGCGACGATCGCGTGACTCGCCTTCCACCGAAGTCATCTTTTTTCTCCACAAAGCTGCTACGAATGAGCTACGATTCACGTTCTCAACACGATCGCTGCTCCCTGCCGTCAACGGCCAAGGCTCAAGAAGGGGATCGTACCTTGATTTCGTAATGATCACTGCAAAGGTCGTCACGGGGAACATGCAGAAGAATATAATTGATGTATCTTAGCGTAGTTTTCCTCATTATCTTCTGTTGAACCATGGTTTGCGCGCCGCGATTGTCTAATTGCCTGCTGATTATAATGATGGAGTATCAGCTTCCAAGTTAGATGGAGATAAGGCACACGAGGGCTAAACTTGATCTGTTTGTTGCAGAATGCTTCGACCGCTGGAGGCGCCGCGGGTTTTCCTAGTCTGGTCTTTTCTAGTCATCACGGGCCTCCTAGCCTGCAGAGATAAACAGCACTACGCACTCGAAGAATACGACTGCAGATGCGTTCGCACGTGAGTCTTTCGATTCCCTTCAATGATTGTAAGAAAATCGAGCTTTGGATTCGAGGAATGAACTCGACTTGCAAAGGCTCATTCTGAGCGAAGCGTTGAGCTTTTAGAGATCGAGATGCGGCCGGCCAACTTCTCTCCGGCTTGTTCTCCGCTCATTCGAGTCGCTCACGGGGAGCTTCCTAGGTAATCGATTCTCACGGCGACAACCTTGAAGGAGGTTCTCCATCGAAAGTCCATCACAGACAAGTCCACAAATATCACAATCGCCTCCCGCCCAAATCCGAGCGAGCTTGAAACTCTGGGACAATCGATGAACTTCTCGCCTAAAAAAATTCGGAACGCCCGGGTTACTAACACCAGCGTCCTCTTCCGGAAATACGTTTGGAATCAGGCATCGGCTGTGTTGAATCCCGTGAATATACATACTTCCCTGCGTTCCCAAATCCGCGGATCCTGTTTTCTAGACGGGATGTCATAATTTCCGATCTTTCCCTACAGAATATCCGTTAGATGGCAGCTGCACTGCTACTCTGTGATTCCCTCAGACGGCAGCGGAGGAGCATCATTCTCAAGTAGCAATCCGAACAATAATTCATCAAATGGATCCTCAGCATCATTCACGGAGTCGAAGTCTAGGACACAGCGAGTCCATTCAACAAAACTGTCACGGAGCGGTGACTTCACGGTACATAAGATGCTGTTCCTTAATAATGAGAATCACCTGAATGATGAATTGGACTCATTTCGAGAAAAGCGTAGTTCCGTCAACCCTCATAATCCGAGGCTTGCCACGTGTACAGGTGAGAACTCTATCCAGACCAGCCCGAGAAGTCCCTGTCCGAGAGATTGAGTACATCGGCAAGAACCGGGAGATCCGACAATTCACGATCGAGTACGCCCCGAATGCGAAGCCCAATGGAATGTCTTCTCTGGAGGTGAGTCAGAATCTTTTGGCGCGCTTCCTACACGACCCGCTCCCAGGTTCTCAACGGAGCCGATTCCACCACTCCCGAACAAGGAGTCCGTTATAAAGATTTCCAATCACCACCCCAATATCAGAGAAGGGTCTCGATCGGCCGGGGAGGAGTCGGATCCAGTGGAATGTAACTCATCAGGAGATCTTCAAGCGAATATTCTCCGGTTTTCAGATATCGTGTGGCGCAGGTGCTGCGGAAATACCCAAATTATTGGAGAAACTGAAGTCTCTAAACGTCAACGATGTCGGTGATGTGAAGTTCAAAAGGTGTCCTCTACCGAGAAATTTGACCTATGGACAAATTCTAGGTGAGCGCTCCGAGACATTATCCGAATCGCTAACGGATCTCGTCTAATACATACATACATAGCTTAATACATGATGCATAGCTCAATGCTTAGCCTGCATCGGATCTGAACGTCCCCAAAGAGAGTGAGATAAAAGTTCTGAGCATTGACTTGATTTCTTCCAGACGGTTCCGACAGGACTGTGACAATTTTCAGTCTGATATCTCCGATTCTTGATTCGTCAGTAATCCCAAAGAAGCCGTTCGAGGGTTTCGCGTCCTCAATCAGGGAGCTGTCCATCATGGAAACAAATTCATCAGGATCAAAAGCGCTCGAGAGCTTCGAAGAAGGTTTCTTCGAACCTTTCGGCAACCTCACGTTCTTGTCTCTGGTGCGGAACAGGATAAACTCAACTGTCGCATTGCAGCCCATCCCGCACCTCAAAGAGCTGAATCTGAGTGAAAATCCCTTGAAAAACCTCTCGGCCGGAACATTCCAGAACTTGACAGAGCTGCGTTGGCTTGTTCTTGTCGGCTGCAGAATAGAGTCCATTGACAGAAACGCGTTCGCGACCCTCGGCGACCTAAAGCTGATCGACCTATTCAAGAACTCCCTGACGGAGCTCCCTTCGGATTTGTTCAAGAATACCCTGCAACTGGGGGAGATATCGCTCAGTTTGAACGATTTTCGGAATGGTTTGCCTGAGAATATTTTCCGGAACCTCGGCCGACTCGAAAACTTCACATGCTGGCGATGTGGCTTACAGAGCCTCCACGCCGGTGTTTTCCGTGGAGCAACGCGATTGTATCGACTCGATCTGGGACAAAACGAAATATCCATACTGGACAACGACACATTCCGGGAGAACCCGCGATTGCAATTCCTGTCTCTATCGAACAATAGATTGAGCGATCTCGAAGGGCTTAACTTGCCGCCGCAGCTGAAAACCCTGGAGCTGCAATCGAACCAACTTTCCACGTTGCCGAAGGATCTGTTCGAGTTGGCGCCGAGTCTTGTTTCGATCAATTTGGGGAGGAACGCGATCCATCATTTGAAACCCGGCACGTTCTCGATTCTGTCACAGCTCAGAGCCCTCGACCTATCGCAAAACCTACTGACGAATTTCAGCTCCTCACACTCCACCCAGTGGGTCGAAATCAGAGATGTGAACCTCAATCACAACCGACTGACGACAATGCCAAATATCCAGTCCCATAACATAGTCCATTTCGAGAAATTCTCCATGAGACACAACAAAATCCGTTTTGCTCGCATGCTCCCCTTCCGCTCCCCGAAATTGGATATTGATCTCCGCGACAATCCATTAGAGACAGTCGACGTTTCGTACCTGATGGACAATTTCAGCGCGGGCGACGAAAGCCCGAAGCCGAGGATCCAGTATATGATCGACGGTCCCCTCAAGTGTGATTGCCACCTCCTTCGATTCTATCAGTACATAAAGAACAAGACCATCGAGTTCGGCAGCTTTCCCGAGAAACTGCTACAATGCCGAGGACAGACCGAACCTTTCCTATCGATGACCGAAGAGGACTTCCGCTGTAAGTTGAATGAGACGGAAGGTTGTCCTCAACCCTGTGATTGCGATATCGCAGAGATTGATCGCAGCGTTCGGGTTGACTGTTCCGGCAGGAATCTGACAACGTTGCCGCCGCTCCCAGAGAAAACAACAGAACTTGATTTGTCTAACAACCACTTCGAAGAAGTCCCAGCATTCCCAGAGACCTCTCGGCTCCGCGAAATCGATCTCAGCAACAATCACATACACGACATCTCGAACTTGGTGGCTCGCCACGGCGAGGGCTGGACCGACGTATCGTTGGCGAATAATTCCATCAGGTACATAGGAAGCTTACGGAAGGAAAACTACCGAGTCGATTTCTCGGGCAACCTCTTCGTTTGTACCTGTGATACTTGGACGGCTCTCCAGAACTACTTCAAAGACGTGGAGGTAAAAGAGCGGCGGAGAGTCGCTTGCGACGAGCTCGTGAACCAAACTTATCTCTCGATGAATGATTTCCTCAACGACAGCAGCTGCGACCCGATTATCGAGAATCAAAAAGCCGTCAATAGGCTCACCGTCATTCTCGTGTGCTCTGCGGCGCTCCTTATCGTGCTGATAACGATCGTCTACTACAAAAACCGGCGTCGGATCATTGTTTACATGTTCACTCATCATTACAATATATACGTCCTCATCTGGCCGGACAGCGAGGTTGACTGCGAGAAGACTTATGACGCTTTTGTCTCTTTCTCTGATCAAGACATAAACGTCGTACACGAGATCATCAAGGAGCTCGAGAAAATCGACCCAAGCAGCGGCGAGCCGACCTACAAATTGTGCCTCCACTACCGCGATTGGATTCCGGGAAACTCGATCGTTTATAACATTGTGAATTCCGTTCAGAATTCACGCCGTACCGTTTTGGTCCTTTCGGAGAATTTCATCTCGTCTGTCTGGCTGAATGTGGAGTTCCGAGCGGCGCTAACGCAGATGATCGAGGACCGTTCTCACAAGCTCATAATCGTCGTCATAGGAGAGCTGCCCTCGGAGAAGAAACTGGATAAAGAGCTCCAAGATCTCCTCCAGAATACCTATCTCAAATGGGGAAACCCGGGATTCTGGGACCATATCCGTTTCCTCCTGCCCCACAAAAATCAAAAGAGCAAAGGAATCGATAAAACTAAATCTGTGCTCAATGGTCATCCGATGACTCGGATCTTGTTGGAGAGTCGTCCGACCTCGGCTAATCTAGCTCGAACGGCTGAGACTCTCGAGAACGAGAAGAATCGTCTGAAATCGATTGCTCAGCCGGTTGGCGGCACCTTGGATAGTGCGAATGGTCACATCAATGACGCTTATGTGGCAGTGAGCACGGAGGACATCAGCGTTCACTGTGATTCGTTCAAGAATGAAGATAAGCCGAAAGTTACTTCGGGCAGACACTGTCCGCGATCCGCGAATGCTGTTCGACCCCCTCGCAAGCGGGACAAAGTCGACAGTGACGCGTGAGGACATCAACCCGACATGTTTCGCCTGTAAATAATGTTTCCATCCATTTATGCCCCATCGCAATGTAAATAGCTGGTGTACAATGAAATACATGGATTGTGTCAGACCTGAGCTTGAATTAAATCACGAACATCAGGGGAAAATTATGAATGTTGATTTGGATGATAGTTTTGGCTTTCTTTGTTTATGATTATCATTTTCTTTTTCATAATCATCATTTCCTCTGTTCGAAATTATTTCTATCCATCGTCCCCGGATGTGCATCTCTTCTTGAGATCTCCCTCGCGGGACAGGGGAGATTTCACTTCATGGGGTTCGCAATCCGACGCCAGCTGTCCTAGATTACCCACCGGACCTTTGCGACGGTTACGAATGGACGATCGAGGGAGAAAGATAGATCTCATTTTTAGGGGACATAAGAATATCCACTCCGAGATAGACGCCTAGTCACCTGCTCGGATTTCAACCTCTTCTCGAGTGTCGCGACGTGGGACCGGCTCGCTCTATCGGAGCACCGTGACTGATGAACGAGGGCAAACCAGATCGACTTGAATGAGAGATATCTCTCATCCCACCTCCTTTGCCGAAGTTCACGGGCGAGGAATCGGATCTCTTGGGTTCTACCGTCTATAGTGCATTTCTCCACTCTCTCTTTGGAATATAGTGCTCGAGTGCGTTGGAGTTCACGATTGAAATCACCTGAGCGAAATTCCCCGGAACAAAGATTCGCACCTTTTGATGCTTGCAGCTATAGATCAAGATTGAGCCAGGAAGCAGTTCCTTTTGAGAATTATAGGGTCACCCCTTTGCGAGCTGCAACACCAAAAAAAAGGAAAGGCCTGTGACGGAGAGGCCGGGATGCAAGGGGGAACGGCTGAGAACTCGTCCCACCGGCGCGGCGCTGTCTCGTGATGGACGGAAGCCGTTATTCAACGCCACTCCGGTGATGGGTAAAATCAGCGGCGATCCTTAATTGGACAACACTCGAGCTATCCGTGTAGGGGAACCCCGGGACTCTGAGACATGCCTGGATGTCTTCATGGAGCCTGGCGGAATGGTGAGCTGGTGACCTCAGAGCACAACGGAGTTCCCCAGACGAAGCACTGTAGCGGGGCTTGGATGTATTTTTTCATATCGATTCGCATCAGAGTTCGTCTGACTCGTCCGGAGAGCCGCGACTCAGTGGTCGGAAGAATGAGGTACAATTAAGTCCATCCGATAGCACCCACCGGGATTAATGAACGATTCAATGTACGAGCGAAGATAATACTCATTTCCCTTGCAGGAGACACACTGAATGGGGACTTGAAATTCTGACGCCTCCGTGGATATGTGGTTGTGACTCCGCGCGTATCCTGAATGGCATTTCGAGTGGGTTGATTCTGAGAGGGCTGCCTTGCTGTCGTCCACTCACCCTGTACGTTGTGGGAGTGTTGTGTCGAGTTTTGGGATGGCTTCGGCGCGTCAACGCCGGTTGTGCTCATTGGGGCGCCTTCGTCGGTGATACTAAAGGGATGTGTGTTCATTCAGTTCCCCGGCTAAGAATCCGACCTGAGATCTGAGGATGAGGAATCAGAAACGGATGGAGCTTGTTTGCCATACTCTCGAACCCGCGGAATCCGTTCCTCGATAGAATTATAGCTTCGGGAAATTTCCGGTCTTTCTTATCCTATCACTCATCAGTGGTAGCTCTTCCTGGAATACCGATCACCCTTGTCCCATGTACATCGACCGCCGAAAATCAATAATCCTAAATGCTCACAATCCTGTGCTCCAGGGATTCGCGAGTGATTTCTAACCTCTGCACTCGATTTTCTGGCATGCGCGACAGAAAGACACGACAGTCGCTCACGGCGTACGCTTCTGCCAACCGATACACGCGCATCGTCTGAGCGTTCTTGCCCACAGCGAGGAGTCTGGCGGGAAAGGAGCGCTCTGCTGTGTTTGTTGCCGTCGGTCGGATAAAAGCCGCTCTCGCATCTAACTGGATCCCACTGTGTGTCCAGGGTACATAGAAGCCCAAGACATACACTGTTCACAGGACAGAAATATACAAAGATTTATCTAAGTGAACTTTTCCACCATTTTCGTTCCTTCTCCGGAGTAAACCACCGTTCCATCATCATGGTAGGTCCCGTGTGAGCAACCTTCCAGAACGGCTTTTCTATCAATCCTAGATCAATAACAACCTTTGTAGTGTAGGAGCGAGTGTAGCGCTAGGTCTTTCTGACGCGGTTTCTTGATCAGAGTCATCGACGAATGATATACCGATCAAATCCGGAAAAATCGCATCCTCTTCCCAAACCGAGCCAATGCAGCGTGTGATTGAGCTTCTCGTGTCGGGGACAGTTATCGTCCTCCTCGACTTTGTCATTGATCGCGCCAATCACCAAAAGTGATTCCTTTGCAAGAATACGGAAATGTTGGAATTTTCGATTAAATTCCGGAGGCCAAAGAGGAACATCGCAGTCACGAATGAGTTCGGAGCTCCGTTGTTAGTCTACGATCGACGTCGGATATTTCTCTCATTTTTCTATGGTCTGCTCAACTTAGTCGACCATTTGATATCAGAAAATCGTAAGCCCTGAGGATTGAATACTATGTTTGGTTGCCGCGGTGGAGATCGCTTCCTGGTGCTTCGGAATTGGCTCAAAGACTTCCAGCCGAACGAGGGAGAACGACTGAAGATTTATTTCCATCGTTCTGTGACGAATCGACAAACAAGTTTCGAATCGGCGAGACTCGTATTAGGCTCCTATCCGGAGCGGATGCTGGTGGCTCACGAATTGGGGAAACTCAATGTAGAAACAAAGCTTCACGAATCTGAGTCAAAACTCGTCCCACCCATTGTGGGTGTACGAGCGACCAAACACGGCCGTTCGGCAACATTCATCCAAAACGTCGATGCGTGGGTTTCTGCTCCAAATAAGGGGGACACTAATCTCAGACCACAGAGCGGCTGCCGCCAGCTTTCGGCTGACTCGTGGACAACACTGAGCGGCTATTCAATCGGACCGAACAGGGAGACCAGACCGGCCTTGCGTGGGGCTGCAAGTATTAACTCGTTTCGGGTCGTTCCGAAACCAAGCGCAACCCTCCGGTGCAACTCTTGGAGCGAACGGATGCCGCGCCATCTGACTGACGTGCATGTCACGATTCGCAATGCGCCCATGCTATTTTTAAAAGCACTACTCACAACAAGTGAGAAAATGAATTCAGTGGCTCGCATCCGAAGGGAATTGTCGGTATCCAATCGGCAAAGAGGATCGTTAGGCCTTATTTCTGCTCCCATGGCTTGGCAGACTTGCGAGCTTATCCTCGAGGATACCCGACCGAGGGAAGGAGCCTAGATGCAATCGGTGCTCCGGAGACTCGAAACTCGGCCTCGCAGTCACGAGGTCGTAGCCTCACACCAAAGAAACCGATTAGGAGGCAACGTCGCGCATCTCCAAGCCACCGCAATGACGAGCCGATCGGAAATATAGTCGCGGCGTTAGAGTAGCGAGTGGTGGTTGGAGGCATCTCCTCTAATAAGGACCGGGACTCGATCTCAGGGCTAGCTCGCGGGAATGAAACAGAGTCCCGGGGAAATAATTCGGGTCGAGGACAAGGCTAATTCGTACCGGAGACGGGTTCATGAATATGATCACGGCTGGATCATTGCAGGGCGTGCCTGTTATTCTGGAATGCCGCGGCCGGCACGAGAGCGAGTAGACGAGTGAGAAAAAAACGCCTTGTCACATTCGTGCTCTTCGCAAGTCTGGCTCGGCCCCAGTCCTGAAGGTGCGCCGTTAGGCGGACAAGAGACTCATGAGTCGCACGGAGAAGTAATCGTTCGTGAAGTCCGTGACGTCACAGTAGGAGACCCTGCTGTTTCAAACGTGCCAGGCAATTCCGTTCAGAAGACTCCATTTAGGCCGCCGCTTCGCAGGCAAAGCGAGCCACGGCGCGGCTACAGTGGGCGTCGCCCAGTCGTGACAGCGCAAAGCTTCACGATCCTGATATGATCTCCCGAGCCGAGCGAAAAAGAGCGAGTTTCGTTCGACCATCGCTTGTCTTATTGCGTGACCTTGCCATTGGGAATCAGAACATCAATGAGGAGAAGAGAGTACGGAATGATCCGTTTTCCTGACGGGGTTCTACGACCTAGTCCCTCAACACTGACAACTGGTAGTGCTATCTCGCTCAAATCTCGACTGTATATCAACAGCGAAAGCTCCGATGCCCTCGAATGGAGAGAACTACACAATTTGGGGCGATTGCATAATCGAGCTGTATTCGGGTATCTCGAGAGATTCGCACGTCCATGTCGCGGGTTTGACGAGTAGTCGCTGACTTCTGTCGGATGGGTCGATGCCCTCCCTGCTCGCATCTGAATCCCAGCCTGACCTGTGCACAGCTCAGTGGATATAGAATGCAGAGACGATGTCGACACTTTGGTGAAAATTTCATGAGGTTCTCTCGTGTAGCTGAATCCCGCGAAAGGAGAATCAGCTCGGAGAGCAGAGTCCCAAATAATTTTCGGGTCGATGTTTCGACCCCCAGGAGTTGCACCGATTGCATTGAAGTGAAATTAAACTTAGGAGGTGAAATCTCATCTAATTTGGCCGACTTGTCTCCAGTGAGGACTCTTCCTCCTTCTCTCCTGGACCGCATGAATGAAACGCACATCTCGAACGCGAGATACTCCTTGACCTCATTCGTCGACCTGCCCTGTTGGTGAAAAAACCATCGTGGACATCGTTAGAAGTCTACCTACTTTCACCCTGTGCGTGATCGTCTGAATCTCGGCGGACCTTGGAGCAACCTGTAACAATGAGCCGAGTTCCGAATTATCGTAACAGTTTGTGCTCCTGGCTTGCTCGCGAGAGAGCATCTGATCTGACGTGGAGGGAAGTTTTTTAGCGTTAGCGCTCCTGCCATTGTTTACTTTGACCCGTCGCTGTAATGGATGTTCTAGGAATAACAAAAGGACGAGGTTATTTTCGTCTTCTCCGAGGCTCCTCCGACGATCGGGGTGAAACATTGTCGAATCGTCTAACGTTGACGAAACTTGCGCTGTTCATATCTGAAATCTGAACTCAGGTACTTAGGCGGAGTCTCCAGGAAAACCGGCGAATCTTGGGTACTCCCGTGCTCGCTGGATCTAGAACGTATGATACTTTGGTCTCTTCGAGTCGGACCCGTCTCCCTCTACCATCTATTGTTTGCGCGATCCTAGGTCCGATAGAATATTTCCTCCTAGTCACGCGATTCTTTCTTCCTTTTTCCCGGATATACGCTTCGGAGTCGATTTTTGATGGACGGATTCCCCGGGGCTTCCGTGACTCGGCCTAATGATTTTGCCGCGGTGGATCCCCTGGAAACGTTCGCGATCCCCGTTTCAATGAATCGGAGCTCCTGTGCTATTCCCCAGGAGGACGAATCGATAGGCGAACCTCACTCCATAAATGAATTGCGATAGATTTGATAATTGTTTTCATTTCTTCCAGCGTGAATGTATCTCGGTTCATATCGGCCAGGCCGGAGTCCAGATCGGGAATGCCTGCTGGGAGCTCTATTGCTTGGAGCACGGTATCCAGCCCGATGGTCGGATGCCCACCGAAAAAGTCTCCAACGCTGTGGATGACTCCTTCTCTACATTCTTCTCCGACACTGGCGCCGGCCACCTCGTTCCGCGAGCCGTGTTCGTCGATCTGGAGCCCACTGTCGTCGGTGAGTCTCGACGGGGATGGCGCTGACCGTTTTCACCCTACTCCAACGTCTCCCCGAAGTATTGGCCAGTATCACCGCTTGGCTGTTCATTATTCATTGCTGGAATCGTAGCTACGCACGTATGGTGTGGGTCGTTTCTCCGCCTGTTTCGTAATGTGGACTCGAGCTGTATCCGAACGGATTTGGCTCAATATACTGAGCCTGAGACCGATGTATATTATATTTAGATTGCTTCTCCCGGTAATTCGCTGGCGGGACCGGAGCGGCGGGTCGTGTAATCAAACATTCGTAACAAACTCGGCTTTAGCCTCGGTCTAGTTCCAAACGGGATTTGCATAAGCTCGGAGGGGATGCTCGATATCGGGACCATGACACGACTCCCACATGTGACTCGAGCTGCGGCACTTCTAATGCCGGACTGTCGACGATGCGATCCGTCTGCGAAACCAGACTGGACTCGGCTCGCCTCCCGAATTCCTTTCAGGCTGTGTTGGGATTGACGTAATCCTCCGACATGTTGTCGACCTTCGCTCGCCTAAGTAAAGGTCGTTTTGGAATAGACTCGATTCTTGAACGTATTTATACACTCATTGAAGTGCTTGACACAGGGTACCTCTCAAACTAAATGTCATGAAGTTTATCGCGTGATTCCGAGCAGAGCGAAACGACCGGGTCGATCCGCGTACGACGGCTACACTTCAACGTGAAACAGACTAAACTCTATAAACCCAAAATACGTGCGTCCAGCGTCCCCACAGCAGAAATTGAATAGTCGCGGATACACCGGTATGACGGCCGGCTGGAGCCATAAAACACTTGAGTCTGATTTTCGTGTTTGAACTTTCCAGATGAGGTCAGGACTGGTCACTACCGTCAGCTTTACCATCCGGAGCAGCTGATCTCCGGAAAGGAAGATGCAGCTAACAACTACGCGCGAGGACACTACACGATCGGCAAAGAAATCGTCGATTTGGTTCTGGATCGCATTCGAAAACTGGCCGATCAGTGTACCGGTCTCCAAGGTTTCCTCATCTTCCACTCATTCGGGGGTGGAACCGGATCCGGCTTCACGTCTCTTCTCATGGAACGCCTTTCGGTGGACTACGGAAAGAAATCCAAACTCGAGTTCTCCATCTATCCCGCTCCACAGGTGTGCCCCGGGCGATCGATTCTCTTGATTTTGAGGACTGAATTTGCTCAGAATGCTCCTCCTCTTCTCCATGGAGTGACATGGACTTTCAATTCATTCCTCAGGTCGCCACTGCCGTTGTCGAACCGTACAACTCGATTCTCACCACCCACACAACTCTGGAACATTCGGACTGCGCTTTCATGGTCGACAATGAGGCCATATACGACATCTGCCGCCGTAACCTTGACATCGAACGACCGTCGTATTCGAACCTTAATCGTCTGATTTCGCAAATCGTCTCCTCAATCACCGCCTCACTCCGATTCGACGGAGCTCTCAACGTCGATCTCACCGAGTTCCAGACCAATTTGGTGCCTTACCCCAGGTTCGTCTTCTCTTCATTTGAAGTCGATCCGGGGCTCAAACTCTTGTGAAAGGGATGTTGAATCGAAAGAGCAATGGAATGAGTTCTAGGACACTCCGAGGATTTACTACTTTCCTCAGAGCAGGCGACGGTATAGCGAATATTCACAATATCGTTCCCCTCCGGAAAAATCACGAAAATCACAACTTCCGTGCTGTCCTCTAGGATACACTTCCCCCTGGTGACCTACGCGCCCGTCGTGTCGTCGGAGAAAGCCTATCACGAACAGCACACTGTCGCGGAAATTACGAACGCGTGCTTCGAGCCTGCCAATCAAATGGTGAAATGTGACCCACGTCACGGGAAGTACATGGCGTGCTGCATGCTCTACCGTGGAGACGTCGTGCCCAAGGACGTGAATGCCGCGATTGCAGCAATCAAGACTAAGCGGACTATTCAATTTGTCGATTGGTGTCCCACAGGATTCAAGGTAAGCGCGCTCCGAGCGTCCTCTCTCGAACGAGTCTTCAATGAGGAGCCGAAAATTGAGTTTACGTCGGGATCATTCAGTCCATGACGGCCGGACTCCGGAGAATCGCTCGAACCGTCGATCGAAAACTCCACCGTCGGCTTATCCGTTGAGTTTGTGAGAACCCGATCTCTATCGCCGGAAAGACGCAGAGCCTCGATCTGCTCCATTGTAACGTCTCTCTCCCCAACCCAGGTTGGAATCAACTACCAGCCGCCGACTGCCGTGCCAGGAGGAGATTTGGCTAAAGTTCCTCGTGCCGTGTGCATGTTGTCGAACACAACGGCCATCGCCGAAGCCTGGGCCCGTCTCGACCACAAGTTCGATCTTATGTACGCCAAGAGAGCCTTCGTACACTGGTAAGCGCGTTTTTCATCACGTACCATCTTTGACTAACGTGAGCAGACGCGAGTGAATCGGGCGAAAGTATCATCGCCGATGCTATGACTCGTTCGTGCATGCGTTGCGTGGAAAACGCGGCGAGCATCGATTCCAAGCAACCTATGCATCTTTTCCATTTGACAAAAACACGGGACCGTATGAGATTTTGAGGTGACATCGGAGCGTGACGAGCGCGGATCCCATATTTCCCTGGACACACATCACGTATACCGTCAGTGAATACTCTTCATCACCATCGAGGATGAACTCGGAAGACTGGAAACGCGGGTGATTCCTCCAAGAGAAGTCGGCGATAATTTGGTTGAATACGGAGACTATTTTCTGACTTCTGGCCTGACTCCGCTTCCGATCGAGCTTTGCATGTGAGCGAAGATCCTGGCACGCATACGCGGACACGCGCCTGCATCCCCAACCGCAACAATGTTTCACCGGATATCCGAACGTTACGTGCTGCCACCGTTGACCGCAGACAGGAAATGGTTTTTTCCCTTTCGATCCACCACCTGCACCGACCCGACTTCATTCGTCTTTCAGTCTTGTCACGTTTAGGAGACCGCGATACGCATCCCCCCCGACTCACTGCTCCAAGTCTCTTGCGTCCCGCACCCGCGCGGGGAAGGGGCGACTCTCCTGCAGGATCTCGCACTTGTTCGTTTGCTCTTCAAGCACCGCGGGTTGATTAAGATGGATGCAGCACGAACGAAGAAGACCGACGCGAGATAGGACAGCGAAATAAGATTCTTGCTCGTCCGGAGTGCACTCGACGCTTACTATGGCCGCGGTCCGGACTTCTGCTCGGGATTTGACGTCGCGGCCTCCATCGGGAAACCAATCCGCCAGTCCGTCGATTCGTCAGACCGATATTTTCGATGGCGACACCGACGCGGGCGTTCACAGGCTTCAGGAGGCGCGTCCTCGCATTCGACTCCTCGAGAATCGAGTCGAGTTCCTGAAGGAATCATCTCGAGACTCATCTTTTGAAAAGGAGATTTCCTGTCTCTCGCCCCCCTGCCCCGCTTCCCTCCCTCCTTGGGGGGAGTTTCCAAGAGGACCCTTATTCTGCCTGTGCGCTCGGAATCGTCTTGGGCCTACTTGACATTTTCAGAGCCCTCCTCGTTACGTCCTTCTTTCGGAAACTTCCTCTAGAGCTACAGAGGACTCGGGAAGCCGGGAAGTTCGTCTACCGATGGCGTAGCCTAATGGTCACAGCCCGCTGCCGAGTTGTGTGGGAGGTTGCGGGTTCGATTCCTGTAGCTCTTCGATATTTCTGGCGGCGAGTCGCAACTACGATGCCATCCTATTAGGCGCATTAAGGGACGACCGGAGGCAGAAGGCGGTCCTGATCAACCGCTCCATCATGGCCGATCGTCCTCAGTCCTACTGTTCGTCGAAAGCGAGATTCGAGGCTCGAGCAGCGGCAAAGCCGTCCCGGATACCGTACCTCTTTTGCGGAACGACTGCTGCGAGCGCGGAAGCAAAATGGGTACAGGTCATATGATTCGGGTGCCGACTTTATCAACGACCGTGCCGAGATCGACTGAATGAAAGCTTGACTGACGTTCTCATCAACGTTTCCCTTCCTTATTTGGAATTTTTCTGATCTGTTCTCCTTTCCCACCGGTGCTTACGCATTCCCTCGCAGCGACTCGAGCTGCTGTCCTCTTCGTCTTGCTCTGCAGACTCTAATGCGATTTTGCATTTTATTCCAGGTATGTCGGAGAAGGAATGGAGGAGGGAGAATTCTCCGAGGCTCGCGAGGATATGGCTGCTCTCGAGAAGGATTACGAGGAAGTCGGTATGGACTCTAACGATCAAGGCGACGGCGGGGATGAATATTAATTCTTGATCAATATTCGTATGCGCCATGGCGTACCCGAGTCGCGCGATCTTCCGTCCCCTCCTCCATCAGGATCAATGGAGGGAGATACCGACCAAGCTTTGAGCATCTGTTTCTGTAATAAATTTCCCATTGCTAATAAATGCGAAGAAAAAGAACGCGCTCACAACCGTTATGAAGTCTTTGTCGTCTGTGTTTCCAGGGGCGATTCTCCGCGGGTACTCTTCAAGACGGAGTCGCTTCCCCACCGCTTGCCCAGAGAGAATGTTACCATTCGTCATCTGGTCGACTTTGTTGCAGCGCAGCGTGGCTTCAGTGTTGTAGATCGATTCCTCGGTTTTCGAATCGGGGAAACATCGAGTGAGGCGAATCCTTAAGCATGTAAGGCTTGTCTTTGTTTCTAAGCGGAAGCGAGAGAAGTGAAACTCCGAATACGCGGGAACGGGTAGGTCCTCGTTCCGGGAGGATTGAGTCGAAGCGTGCGTCGAACGCCCTACCACGCAGGATATTCACCCGAGGAAATCCCTTGCTCGGAGAATGCCTATAATATCTGATCCGATCCATTGCATATCGTTCAATTCATGCAGCCATCCTAGCTCACCTGACGACCGACTCGAACTCTTGCCACCGATTGCTCACTATGGTAATGGAAACTTGAAGAGTGGGGGATTGGGACAAGAGACGCCAACGAGTCGCGAACGACCGTATGCATCGAGTTGTGATAAATCCAAGGGATTCCCTTCCTATTGGCGGATTTCAATTTTTTTTCGCTGAGTCGTCATATCGCAATGGCGCGGCCACAGAGGGAGACAAAGTAGCTCTGGTGTTCGCCGGCGAGCGCTCACTATTAGATTGCTCTCGGATTCGGGACTCGGTGAGTATTTCTCCTTCGTGCCGTTCATCGATCGAGTTGAACGACTCCGAAGAAGCTCGGGCAGTCTAAGATGTTGCGACTGGTGACAAGGCACATCCCCTCTGCAACGAGTCCTTCGATCGGATTTCTGTCGCGCTTCCTCTCGATTTCAAGGTCGACCCACTCTTGTGTCGAGTCGGGATTCCAATTCACCGATATTCGAATCGCGACGGCTATCGGACCCACTATTCGGAGCTCGGTCGAATCCTCGAACTTCTTTCCCGAAAAATCATCTCGTCTGAGAAATGCATCCTCCCGGCTGCCGGCCTCCGTTTGCGATTCAAAGCGAATCTCACGGGGCGGAAGACAAGCTGGGTGATACCGCGTGTCAATTTGCCTCCAAATCTATGAGGATCTCTCGGGACCCCTGTTTCGGGAACGATCTGTTGAGATACTCGCTCTCTCCGCCGCAGTTCTGCGTCTGGCTCGAGAGAACTTCCATTAATTAAGGGACTGTCCTCATAAATAATAGTAAACCCGGGAGCGGAGACCTGGCTACGCGGATCAAGTTGCGGGGGGAGAAGAGAATAGTGGCCTGAGTATAACAATATGGTTTTGACCAGACGTTGCCTGAGGAGATCAGCTTCACAACATCACCGACCTTGCAAAATGAACATCTACTGCGGGATTTCGGGTACGGGTTTTACGTAGGCATACTTTTTCTCCTTGGACAGCGATCGAGGGGAGGTTCTCGAGAAGGAATATCGGCAGAGGACATTTGCCCCGAGCGACCACCGGGAGTCATTCACTCAGACTCCTCCGGCAGCAGGAGCTGTAAGCTACGGAATTCGCCTGTCGAAGCTTTCGTGGGCCACGGACTTAGACATCAGAGCTCATGCCATGTTCCTTCTCGCGCCATTATTATTTTGAGCAAATGCGTGATTTACGAGAATGGAGGTCTTGTATCTAGCGAGGTGGCGGAATTCTACTGATTCGAGCACACTCTCGTCAAGCAATCCTACGTGAGCCGGTATCCCCCTCAAGGAAACCCGGCTCCATGTGCTGGAGTTGATGCTGGTAGATCGATCGTCGACACAAGCGGGAGCTCCGGGACTCCAGTCTCGTATACACGTATAATGACATCATTCGGGCTCGGGGAAGCAATTTTCACCTCTTTCTGCATAAGGGATCCTCGTGCTGACGTCTATTGACCTCAAGGCAGATACCCATGTACACTTTCAAGAGTGCTCATCCTGACGAGACTCTGCATGCATGAAGTACCACGGCGCTCTTGTAGATCGCTTGATCCCTTGATCAAGTAGTACTCTTCACGTCCCTGTTAATCAACGTTCGCACAAACGAATCAGGTTCGCTTATCTGCTAACGGAACTATTCGTATGGATGGCGAGAGCAGCGGCGTCTGACTGAGAAGGTTCGATCAAGCTGCAGTCTCGGTTTTCTGTCCGAATGGTGAATAAATCGCAGCTTGTCCAGTGAGTCGACCAGACAGGTAAGGAATTCCTCGCGAGGTTCGCCTCATCCGGGGCTCAGTACTGAGCGCATTTATTCACGCTGTGTTCGCTGATAGAGAATAGAGAAGTCGGTTGACCTTGCTCGAGCAGACTCGCACTGGAAATCGATGATACCGGTATTTCTTTCTCAAACAGTTTTCTCGATTAGATAATGCAAATCGTATTATGAGGGTTCACTTCCCCGGCATATTCTGATCATACAGAGCTTCTGATCGATCATCCCGGAGATGGAGCCCAAGGTCGCTGAAGAATTGGGAGAAGGGAGGGGCAGGGGGACACGGAACGGATCTCTATTCTCGAAAAGATGATAGATCCTTCTGCTATGTGGTCCGGATTAGTCGTGGGAATTGCTTCGACGAAACCTTCATTCGTTGGCGTTTCGCTCCTGGTCGATATCGAAAACGCTTCGCGTTGGGTAAGGCTGCCGAATACCGGATCAGCTCAATCATCATTCGAAATGTTGCACTCGTTTCTGATTCTCCCAAAGTTAAAAAATATTCTCCGCCGGTGCGAAAGATTTCCGGGAACCCCCCCCCCCTGATCTTGGCAAATTCTGTTGCCTTACGAAGAGAGCGCCGCGCCGTCGACTCCTGTTGATCGAGGCTTAGGAGGGAATGGTCTGCGAGCAAGAGATACGCTTCACCTTCCCACGTAGATACGCTATTCTTTGCTACGCTTCCCTTGAGATTCTCGATGCACGCTCAACTGTGAGCGCAGCCCGAGGAGGAAAGATCGCGGTCGGGCTCGGAGGGATCTTTCGATTGGAAAAAACGGAAAGAAGGAAGAGTCTTATTGAAGGGTACGATTTCCCGAAAAGAAAATCTGGGCAAACATTATCAATTTCCGATGTCTTATGTTTTCCCGCTCGAATTGGACGCTTCGTACTTTCCCCGACCTCCGTAAACATCCGTGTCGTTTCCAACGCTTGCACTAATCTTCCCGGCTGACGTTCGAAGCTCTATTCCACCACCCGGGTAATACGAGACATGAGGGAATGCGTCGATGTTCGCCGGCAATCTGAGCGTCTGATGAAAGCACGAGAGAGAAAATAATCAGCATTGCCCCGGAAAGCCCCAGAGTCCAGGCCGCACGAGAAGATGATGTGCCTGCAAGAGAAACAAGAAAAAAATTGATGCCATTGTTTCGGCTGCCCGTTGTTCGCGAGGTGGCGGCTGTCGTTGTCGACAGCGTCGAAGGCGGGCACCGGCGGGGGGATCGGGGGATTTCCTCCGTCGATGCAAGGACGACAAAGGTTTTCAAAATGCGCCCGGTTCGACGACCGTCGCCTCGTTTGTTTTGCCGACAAACAGAAGAGTCGACGGGTGTTTCCGGTCCGGGTGAAGGTCTTTCGGACCAAGCAGTCTATGACGAATTCCTCATGAGTCCCGAGACCGGGACGAGGCCTTGCCGGAAAGAGGAATTGCGCCGAGGTTGCGATGCGCACTGTTTATCTGCCGAGTGCACGACTCAGTCACTGCCCTGAACGGAGTTTTGGGTCCGAATCAGATCTTATTCAGACCGTCGGGAACTCCCGGTAGGCTGCCGCAAACTGTGAGTAAAGGACTCTCGGGACATTCGGGAGATTCCTACGGGATAGAGGGGAGCGTCGCGGCTCCGAACGCAATGTCTAATACGAAATTCAGCCGCGCCGACCGCTGCGGCAAAGTGCGTCCGCGATGCACTTACCCGACGAGAAAATCCTGTTGCCCCAAAAAGCGTCTCGGTTTCGCCAGGTTCGTCAGAAGTCTGCGTTACCTCACCGAGCGAACAAGGGAAGGATCCTTTGGGCACCTGTTGAAGGTCTGGGAGAGCTTCACCAAACGGTGGAGGGTACAAGCTCCGTGGTCGAGGATGACGGTCGTATGTGCAACAGGTGTTGTAAATGTTTCAACAGTGGCGTCCAACTGCTCCTCTCGCTCAAGTTCTGACCGGAAGCTGGAGAGAGACAATTCATCGACTCGCGGCTTTTGCGACGGGGAAGGAGCAGCGTTCGCGAGGCGCGTTTGCCGATAATTTTCTTGCGCTGAACTCCGGGCCGGGTTCGGGAATTCAGGAATTTCCCCCTCAATTTTTGCTTCATGAGTTCATGGGCAGCTTGCGGTATACCGGAGCGTCCGCAGCTCGGAGGTTCAGATTCGCCATGGGTCGCTACGATTCTGTGGAAACGGCTCGCCACTTCGCCTGGAACGAGCGGAAAAGTATCAACAGATCGCTGGACTTACGCAGAGGATCCTCGAGACGCAATGGGGAAAGGACGTATGGAGTTGCTGGCTGTCAGCTACTTAACCTCAGTTGGCTCACTGAAGTCTCGCACGCTTGCACCCCATAGTGTTCCTCATAGCCAAGCAGACTGTCGTCTTGTAAAGTGTCCCGTGCTTAAATCGTCGTTATTCAGGAAAATCACGAGCTTCGCAAACTTCGCTCGCATATTCACTGCACCGAGCAACACTCAACGGAGGCCGCAGCTTAGGGAGCTCTTCACACTCAGCTCCAATTGTGAGTATCTCTCCCCCGTGACGGGGAGTAGCATAGAGATGGAACGATGTTCCAAAAGTGCAAATGAACCTCAACGAACATTTTTCCCCGACGGAAAGTGCTTGCACCGAGCGACGTAATACGGCACTGACTGCCTCCGATTTCGTCCAGAGGATTCGGATATTTTCTCTTCAAAGAAACATCATCGAGAGAGCCGTGTCATAAGCTATCTATGTACATCATCATCAGTTATCAGCCGGAGGGGCAAGACGAGCTATCTGCGAAAACACGCGCGGAATA